TAATAATTAACCATTATTTTAAGGAAAAAAGTATTATACAAATATATATATATATATAATATATTTATTGATTAGACTAAATAAATCAATTCTAAAAGTTTTAAAAAACTTGCCACAGCTGCCACATGTTTTAGTTGATGTTTGATTAGTGCTAGCCACTTTTTTTTAGGAATATAATAATTATAAAAAATCAACTAAGAGGATTTTTTTTCCCCTATAAGACTTTAAACAATTTTAAAAATTAAGAAGTTGCCATGTGTTCCTTATTTTTTTTCCTTCTAAAAACAAAAAAAGCATTTTGTTTGAGTTCTTTTAATTAATCTAAAACATGAAATGTCATCAAATACAAAGAGATCCTAAATAGGAAATGGTTAAACATTTTAAAAAGAATAAGCTATTTATTATTGTTCTATTATCATTCTATAAATAATCTTTATGTATTGACACTCTTTATTTATAACAACATATTTAATATAATTTTATAAATAGAATTTAAAAATATGTCAAATGTGTATACAATTTTATTTTTATTATCTTTTTAATATAAAGAGTTTTTTTAATAGACACTCAGCTCAAATAATTAATAATATTTAACTAATTTTTGAAATTCTTAATTACAAACTTTTACTCGATCTTTAATGATATATACCATGATATACAATTAATTACTCCCATATAAAATGAAATTGGTGAATGTTCCAAAATAATATCATGTTTATACACTTAAAATAATTTAACTTGAAAATTGTCATTTATCTTACAAAATAATTTTATACGTACATAAATATTTGTGATGTATTTCAGACAATACTTAATTTTTTATTTTTTATTTTTTAAAATATTGTGCTTAAATCGAACACATACAATAATATCATTATTAGAGAATTCAACAACAAAAATAACAATGTACCCAATATATTTTCACTAATCAAATCTGGCGAAAATGAAGTGTACATAAATTTTATCTTTATCTTTGTAAGTTATGAAAATATTTCTGATAGATCCCGAACAAATAAACCACTTTCTTAAACAAATATAAAAGAAATGAAATAATAATGTAATATAAAAGAATAAGATAATACTTAAAAGATCCTATTAACTAAATAAAATGACAATAAATATCACAAAAATAAAATTGAATTTCTGAATTCTTACGATGCGATATACCCTACAAAGAAGAATACACGTTATATGACAATTTTAGGAAAATGATGAAATACATAATTATATTATAATCGCAATACAAAAATACATATTAAATGACGATTTCCTTATAATTAAAACAATAAATATTCTTGTTATATTACAATACCTTGCTCGTTACACAATAACAATCACATAAATTAAAATAAAAAAAAGTATTAATTTGGAAATAAAAAATAATTTTTTTCATTTTTATAATTTTGGTATTTATATATTTAGGAAAGAGGGGAGAAAAAACCAAGTTGCATGGGGAATAGTAGAAATGAATCTGATATAGCTGGAGCAAAGCTGTAAGTAAGTTTATAGTATTATTATGATGAGCAAAAGGAATTGAATGAATTATGAGTTGTCAATGTCAGTAGTCATATAAGTTTTTATTTATATAAATTATAATATAAATTATATTATATAGTCTTCATTTGCTTTTGAATGAAAGCAACAATTTTGGCTTTGCTAACAAAAGTAACTATCTGACTTGATGTCCTACTTCACTTCCAACATCTTCTTGAGATTAGATTTGATATTTATATCAAAATTTGATTAAATATAGATTTATATTGATTTTTTTATATTAAGAATGAACAGTAAATTTTCGTTTTACGCCAGAAGGGAACGAATCGTAACGCTTTATCTATTATTTACACAACAAATTAAATCACGTACTACGATATCAACCCTATATATCTCAATGCATCAAAGTGATCGATCCACGACATGATCAAAAACCATCTCTAAGTATCATTCCTTTATTTTACTTTCAACATGCATCGTGAACAAAATCAAAGAGAGAAGGCATAACGATACTTAAATTGAAACGAAACGAGTAATAATTAATTAATTGTAAGAACTTTCTCCAAACGTGGGAAGAAGGTTCCTTGTATTTGTATAAATAGTAGTACTATTAATAGAACATAAATTTAGAATATCAAAGGGAGCAAAGCCAACGCGTTATAAGGTGAACCACACAAATGATTAAAGCATATGTCAACTTTAGAGCACAGCATTTGTCTCTTCATTTAGGACCCCTTTTCTTGGTCATATATATGGTACGAAATAATATCCACCATGAATCATGATTCATAAAAGACTCCCGCTCGGTGTTTGGTATCTGCTATTAAAATTTTGAGTAATTTAAATTTGTGTTTTGTAGAGTTTGTTGTAGAGAAAAACGTTGTCTAATTAAGGTTTAGCACTATTTTTAAAAGATGTGAATCTTTGACGAGGTATCTGATCGAAAGTTCAGTTGAAAATTGATTCGTTTTTTGATATAACATTTTCTATGATTTTTTTAAAAATATTTTAATCCGGGATATTAGATTAAAATTTTGAGTAATTTAAATTTGTGTTTTATAGAGTTTGTTGTAGAGAAAAACGTTGTCTAATTAAGGTTTAGCACTATTTTTAAAAGATGTGAATCTTTGACGAGGTATCTGATCGAAAGTTCAGTTGAAAATTGATTCGTTTTTTGATATAACATTTTCTATGATTTTTTTTAAATATTTTAATCCGGGACTTTAGATTAAAATTTTGAGTAATTTAAATTTGTGTTTTCTAGAGTTTGTTGTAGAGAAAAACGTTGTCTAATTAAGGTTTAGCACTATTTTTAAAAGATGTGAATCTTTGACGAGGTGTCTGATCGAAGATTCAGTTGAAAATTGATTCGTTTTTTGATATAACATTTTTTATGATTTTTTTTATTTTAATCCGGGACTTTAGATTAAAATTTTGGGTAATTTAAATTTGTGTTTTATAGAGTTTGTTGTAGAGAAAAACGTTGTCTAATTAAGGTTTAGTACTATTTTAAAAAGATGTGAACCTTTGACGAGGTGTCTGATCGAAGATTCAGTTGAAAATTGATTCGTTTTTTGATATAACATTTTTTATGATTTTTTTTATATATTTTAATCCGGGACTTTAGATTAAAATTTTGAGTAATTTAAATTTGTGTTTTATAGAGTTTGTTGTAGAGAAAAAACGTTGTCTAATTAAGGTTTAGTACTATTTTAAAAAGATGTGAATCTTTGACGAGGTGTCTGATCGAAATTCAGTTAAAAATTGATTCGTTTTTTTTATATAACATTTTTTATAATTTTTTTTATATTTTAATCCGGGACTTTAGATCTATCGAAAGTGAATGGTTCAAGATTTGATTTTTTTATTTAATATATTTAGCGATCAATTTCTCGAATAAAAGTTAATATTTTTTTCTAATAATTAAAGAATGTGATAAAATAACAAATATTTTGAATTTAAATTTTTAAATGAGACTTTTCGATGTGAATCCGTAGAGCTATTTTCTACTAAATCTAATAGAGTAAAATATTATTGCATGGAGTTTGTTAGTTCAAGTATCTTTTTTCCCATAATTTTGCGTTTTATGTGTAGACATTGACTAATTCTAAAATTAATCACCACGTGACTACTTGAAATATAATTTGTGATGGTACCACTAACTAATTAAACATAGTGATTAGTCGTTTATATTAATTACAACATGCGTCAACTAAAATTAATATTGATTTTTCTTCATACCAATTCTACTTAATTAATTAAATTGAGTGATTAAGCCTTTAAATCCGAATATACTATAGTATAAAAACAAGGATTATAATTGACTTTGAGTTTACTTTACGAAAAAATAATAATCACAAATTAAGAATAAGAAGAAGAACGACGTGTGTTCTTTTAATCTCTTAGAAGAAATGATTATTTAGACATAAAGTTCAAATTCAAAAGTTAACACAACTTTTCTAACTATAGTATTAAAATCAGATTAAATTCAAATTCGTATTATAACAAGGTCATTTTCAAAGAAGTGTTTTTATTTTTTAAAAAAAATTTCATGAGTTCAAACACAAACACCGAAATCTCTAGTTAAGAATTAAAAAGTCTCAGTTATTTCATGTTGTTTATATTGATAAAAATTAACGCAAACTTAAAATTCTATCAACCAACAGAAAGGTTAAAAGTTGTTGCTTTCATTATTAGTTTTTTGCCATAGGTTCATCCGAATTCCTTTCGATAAAAAATTATACTATTTATACATGGTTAAAACAATATTTTATGTATATATAGTAGATGTCGAATCCCTTTCGGCTATCGCGTGTGTCTATTTCTACGACTTTTGAATCCCCTTATTGAAAATCTTGGCTTCGCCACTATATATCGATACTCCTAATACTACTTTTAAACAAGTGTTCTCCTATTATCAATTTTATTAAAAAGTAAAATACATAATCATATCACTAATCAAAAACTATAATCACTTGAAGGCTAAATATACAATGTAAGAGTATTTTAATATTTTTTTAAAAAATCAATATTCCTAAATAAGATATATAAAATCAATATAAATAATCTGATTTGGTAAATGATATCATCAATTAAAAAAAAAAGTTTTGAGTTTTTTATTGATCAAATTCAACCATGTCATCAAAATGTCACAAATATAAAAAATTGAAAAAATCTTTAATTATTCAACTGTTCTTTTTTACTGTATTTGCACCTAATTATAATAAATAATAGTAATCAATAATCCAATAAAAAATATAACCACACAATAATAATATAACACCTACACTTCCTCTCCACATTGAATACAGAAAAGTCCAACTCTAAATTTAATTTTTTTTTCTTTTCTTTGATTCGTCTATTTATTGACCCCATCCGATACAAATTTATACCATAAATTCGAAAAAATAATATATACGTAATTTTATTTTTTACTTTATAATAAAGTCATAAATTAGATCATAAAGAAGATCAATAGCTGTAAAAATACCATAGCAAACTGGAGATGCAAGAAACGTATAAAGTTCATCAATAATTTCCACCTAAATTACATAAAAAAAAATAAAGTGTAAAATTAATTATCAAAAGAAAAAACATTATTTTTTTTATTCTAATGTTGCCATAAAAAACTCTCAAAACTGGTTGAAACCACATTTTCTAATCCTGTAAATTCCATATTACTACTAATATAATTATCTTGTCCAAAAAAATATTCACAATTTCCATAATTATTATCCCACCATTCATCTGATTCAAATAAACTCTGAGTTGATTCAACCAATTCGTAACTCGATCCCAATTTTGGCAGCTCCACTATCTCACTCAACTGCCCCGTCGCCTCCGGAATCAGCTCCGGAGGCGACGGTCTTGACTCCTCGTCGTCTTGAAACGACGACGAGGAGGATGTAACGCCCGAAACTAACGACAGCGACGATGACGATGAGGTCATCGTCGCCGCAGAGGTTTCGGGTAATATTGAGAATTTTGGATTTAGGTGATCCATGTGAGCGGCTTTTACGGCGGCGTTTTGGATGTCACGTGGGGAGCACGTGACGGGTCGGGGCAGTAAATGTGAAAATTGGGGAAAATTGAGTATAGCTGAGGTACCTTTAATGGACATGGCGGCGACGTCGTGAGCACGCGCCGCCATTTCCGGGGTAGCAAAGGTACCTAACCAAATCCGTGATTTTTTTTTAGGTTCACGGATTTCGGATACCCATTTTCCCCATGCTCTCATTCGTACACCTACATAAGAAACAACACTAGTACTGCTGCCATTGTTGTTGTTTTTATTCATCTTCTTCGGATTTGGATTATTAACGACCACGTCTTCTTCTTCTTCTACTTCCTCTTCACCTCTGCATCTTTTGAGTCGATTTTTTGAATTGATTTGTGGAAGTGGCTGAAGAAGAACGGAAGATGGCGATGAGGGCGACGAAGAAGAAGAAGAGTTGCAGCTAGATTCAGTACTTTCTGAACAATTTGGTTGCTCTGTAGACATTATTATCATGTATGAATTGTGTTGCTCTGTTTTTGTTACGTTTGCTCTGTTTTCTTCTCTCTCTTTTTTCGCGAAAAAACTATGTCTGTAAATTTGCGAAACTCTCAATAAACTGAACGCAGTGTATACACAGAGATGTTGAAGAAATGACGAGCTGCTCTGTTTTAGTGTGTGAAAATAGAATATAGAGAGAGAGGGGAGAGGAGAGGAGGGTTGATGAGAGAGAGAACAATTGAGTTTTTATTAGTCAAGTAGAAGCTAGTTTATATATAGTAAGAGCTTTGATAAAGGTGAAGTTTCTTTTTTTTTTCTTTGAAAATATATTTTAGGGGGCAAGAGAAATATCCTCCGCCCTAACATTTTTACTTGTTTATTATATATTAAAAATAATATTTTTATAATAAAAAATAGTTTATTATTGAATCTCTTGGTTTTGTAATGAGGTTATTCGAAAGAAAATGTGAGCGATTTTTATGGTGAAAAAATTAAGAAAAGCAAGATTAAAATAATTTAGACGTGTATAAAACAGGAGCGATAACACCTTAGTGAGAACGTGTAAAAGACTCGTTATAAGGATACTCAGAGGGGTGGATGTATGTTAAAAAAATATTGAGAAGAAGCGATTATACATGCTACGATATAATACAAGAGGACATGACTCTGGATAGGAAAGAGTGGAGGTTGCGTATTAAGATAAAAAGTTAGTAAAAGAGTTGACGTGCGTAGATAGAGATTTGTTAGTGCCTGTCGTAGTATTAGTCGTACCCTTATAGTTCTTCCTTTATGTTGTGTATTGTATTTTCGATTACCACACTATTTTGCTGTTATAGTTATTTCTTTCTTTCTCTTAGACTTTACTCTTCTTATTAATAGTTATGCTTTTTTTCATTATTTTGTGCTTCTTTTACTTGAGTTTGATGTACTTGAGCCAAGAGTCTTTCGAAAACAACATCTTTACTTCTTCGAAATAGTGTTAAGATCTATATACACTCTACTCTCCTCATATTTCACTTAATGAGATTTTATTGAGTATGCTACGATATTAATCATAATTATTTTCTAAAATACTAATATTATTCTTATTAAAAAATGTCATAGTAAAATTATTAGTTTACTTAATATTAATAAATAAACATATTAAATCAATACTGAATATTGGAAACAAATGTGAATGCATGTGCTAACTAGTTAAGTTTAACATTTATATACTATACTCTCTCCATTCAATTGATATTGATATGTTATTATTTAATTTGATATTTTTTTTAAAAATAATTAAAATAAATTATAAATATTTATATAACTTATAAATCATCTATATTAATGATAATAATGTGAAATTCTTATAGACTATGATACTGTGTAACATATGATAGCACATTATTTATTCATACTATTTATGTACAGCTGGACGTCAATATATATGGCTATTGTTACACATGTACAATTTGAGAGCATGCCTTATATATTAGATTCTATTATCTATATATATTTAGTTTTGTTTTTCACACATATATATAGTTTTGTTTTTAAAAACACATACATAAATTGATACATATATATATACTATCAGAAAAGATAAATAATCGAGGGCCTAAATTTTTTTTTTTAAAAAAACAATCTTACCTTTTCTTTTTCTTTACCTAAAATCGATTCTAAGTTTAAGAAGTTGACTGTTAAAAATGACAGGTTGATTAAAGTAAATCGAAAGATATATTTCCTCAATTTTCTTAAATAAAAAATTAATATAATTTTATTTATATCCTCAAAATGCATTTTCCACTTCAAAAATACCCTCAATTTCCATTTTAAACAAACAAAGGGACTCTATTGATTTTCTAAAGATTTTTTTTCTAAAAATAAATAATAAAAATCGACAGACGTATTTTTTTTTAAAAAAAAAACCCCAACAAAATCTGTCAATTTTAATTATTTTTTCAAGTAGTGACATATTCAATCAGATATATTAATATATTTTGATATATGTTTCAAAAGAATAAATAAAAATCTCACTATATTTCATAACAATTAATGCAAATAGCATTATTTATATATAATTTTTTTTTTATCTATTTTCATTATCGATTTTAGATTCCAGTATTTTATTTATAATAAATATATTTAAATTAATTAAATTATAAATAATTAAATACCAAATGGTCAAACAAAAAGATTTAAGTGAGGGGAGACAAGAAAAGGCCTCACAACCGACCGAAGCCTTTACCCATCAATTCCTTAATTACTGAGCACAAAACCAGAGAAAAAAATTTAATTAATTAATTATTAAATTTGATTAATTAATTATTTATTTAATTAATAAATAATATACTCAAATTCAGAAACACTTGCAAAAAGGGAAAGAGACTTAAATGACAAGCATTAATTAAAAACACAGGAGGTGGGGGTAGATTTTGATTTATTATTTTAAAACACATGAAAGTGAGAACAAGAATTAATTATTATTAATGTTATTAATTAAAATAATAATTTAGAATACTAAGGTGTGCTTAGAATTCTAGGAGAAGATTAAGCCTAGATTTAACCATCTAAAAAGGTCAAAGCCCTTTTTCTAAGTGACACTTTTTTCTTCACTAACCATAAACATATGGTGTGAAATCTTTTTTTTTTTGGTTAATTATTTTCTTTTTTATTTCCGCTCGATATTTAATATTTGTATTAAACTTCGACTAATCTAAAGTCAATTTTAAAGATTTTACTTTAAAGAATTATTAAAGACTTTTCACAGAAAGCGATTCTATATTAAAATTCGAACAACTTCTTATTGTTTCATATATGGTGATCAAATTATCTTCCACATAAATTTATACTTGAAACACATTTAACTCAATTTCAAAATTTCTCTTTTTTCTTTTTGTCATTTTTTTAATTTACGGCAGTCGTTTTAAATTTATATAACACATAATTTAAAAAAAAGAAAAAAGCTTTGTAATTGTAAGTATGCTACTATTACTATAAAAGCTTCTTAATTATTAAAACATTAAAGAGAAGTCTTAACAAGAAGGAATTATTTAGGTATTAAAGTAACATAACTAATAAAACTATCTTGTTTGGTAGCTTTTTAATTGTTTCAGTATAAAATTTTAGCACCAAATATAATTTTAATTATGATCATTTTAATTTAGTATGATCTCAATAAATATATATTATTTTATCTTAAATCAGAGGTGAATCACTAGAAGTTTGACCTATGAATGAAGTTATAAATGAAAACCAAACCCTATGCAATTAATTAGTTCATATATTATTTGCATTAGTATATAATTTTAATTAACGATCAAATCAGTGGCGTAGCCATATACTGTCAAGGGTGTCCAATTAGACACTCTTTGTCGAAAATAATTTAGCATATATACAAGTAAAATGATAAAAGAAATAAATAACCTATTTTGAACACTCTTAATATAACAAGTTGCTTTTTCTGAACACTCTTTAAGAAAATTCTGACTCCGCCACTGAATCAAACAACCTTTAATAACGAAATAATTTTATTCTTTTTTAAATAATATAACACTATAACTTTCTCCTCCTCTCTCGAGACTCTATTAATAGATATTTACATTTACATATTTGAGGTAAAAAAAAAATATTGAAAGTTTTGACTTTGGATTTAAATGGGGTAATTATTTTTCCTTTTCATCAAAGATTTTTATATTGCTATGTTTGAGTTACTTGGAAAATGGAGAAAGAACTAAAATATTCACCTTACATAGTAAAAAAAATAGTTAGGGGAAGTCAAAGGTTGTCTTTAGATCTCTTTGTCAGCCTTTTTAGTAGCTATGGCATGTGAAAGAATGAGATACTATTTTTAGCTATATACTCCAAAATAAAATATTAAACATCTTCTATATGCTTTAATATCACAAATAGAATATTTTTACAATCATGAATTTCAAATAACAATAATAATAATAATAATAACATATTTAATACAATTATATAAGTCATATCTAAAAAATTTAACTATCATTAGTGTTAGAAATATATTTAAATTAGTGAGAAATTTATGTTATAAAAAATATTTTTTTATCGTATTAAATCACTTAAAAGATGCATTATTAAAAAAAAAAAAATTATTAAAATACTGAAAAAATTTCTAATTTTTCATGTAAAAATACTATGATTTTTTCTTTTCTTACTAATTCAATCACAATATCGATGAGAATGACTATGAAACATTTTCCAATTGAAAAACTAATGATTTTTTTGGTGGTGCATAGTATTTCATATACTACATTTCATTACATTAAAGAAGTTTAACCTATATATATATGCATATCATAAGTGTTAAACTAATATATTTATATTATCAAACTATAGTATATAAGTTATAACTTATATTCTCAAGAATAATTATTAAAAAAAAGTGTCCACATATCTCGTCAATGATTCTTCTTCTAACTTCTTATATTTATTATAATGATGGTCCAATATTTTTTTAACATTATCTTTTTTTTCAGATATTTTTCTTATAAAAACTTGTGATCTAACTATAATATATACATTTAAGTTGCTATGCACATAACTTTAATTTCAAATTTCATAAAAAAAAATTTAATGCATTAATTGATCCTCATGTTTTGAAAAATGTCACCTATTTGGTACGAAGAGAATAGATTTGTTATTAAAACATAAATATCAGTTAAAAATTCAAAGAAAAAGGTCTATGAGACATTCTTCGACTCCCATAATATTTTTCTCTCCGTTTTATTTTATACAATACTATTTAATTTGCTATAATATTCAAGAATAATAAGACTTGAAATTTATAATCTAATACAATACTTAGAGATCTATGTGATTTGCAAATTATTTAATTAAGAATAAATATAGAATTTTAAAATTAAATTATTGTTGTAATAAAGTGACCTTTTTTTGGGATGAAGTAAAAAAGAAAAAAATGTCATAATTATATGAAACAAAAGGCGCAATTCTTTTCCTAGGAAGGTACATAATAGGGGTAACAAAATAAATTCAAACTCGTTCGATCTGTTCAACTCTTCTAATATTTTTATGAGCTAAGTTTTGATTCGTTTATTGAATTGATTTAACGAATTTGAATAAAAAATGATTCATGCAACCGACTTTGGAGCTATGAAATTAATTTAATCTATTTGATCCATTTAAATTTGACTCATCCACTCATTTGTCATCTTCAACACATACTAGACTCATAATTTGATCGAGTACTTTAAAGTTTTATAAAGT